AAGAACATTTGAGCGTGAAAAGCTGCACTTGAAGAAGGGATTGTACACATTTCTGGCCTTAGTATGACAAAGATAAACCAACAAAAGTTTTTCTTCCAACCTAACCCCTTTAAAAATTTAGAAGCAGTGGAACAGGTTCAAGTTTCAAGTTTTCAAGTTTCATGTTTCAAGTTTCAAGTTTATTTCACATTTCACAAATAAAAAGAATTTACATAATTGACAAAATTAGAACATAATATGAAATATAGTAAAAGTGTCACATTATATAATTAATTCTTTGAAAAGACGTCGATATTAATTGTAATGAATAGAAGGTTATACAGAGTGAAATGTGAGGAACCTATTAAAAAGCTCAGCTTGTAGATTATAGGTTCCCATAAATAAAACCAGGTTATGGTTAGTATACATGGTTATGACAGTAACAAAGATAAAGATATTACAATACGTGTGTGTGTGGGTGTGTTTGTATGTATGTCATATAATTATGTGTGCGTGTATTTGATAGGGGGGCATCTATGGCTCAATAAGGTTTCCGTTGATATATTTTCATCTAGTATTTTTTTTTTTGCACTTTCCAAGAATTAGGTCTCTAGATTTATTAAAATTACCATTTTAAGATAAAATAGTTATTTAAGAACCTCAAAACAGTTGGATAGAAGTACATGGACTGATTATGATGAAGGGATGCGACGTGGGTGCAGACAATTGAAAAAAGGCAAAATCCGCCCCCGCCCCCCACATTCCACTCCCCCCCCCCCCCCCCCTAGATCCGCCCCTGGACACGATCGGTGACATACATTCAATTGGGAAAGACTTGTGCTCACTGTTAAATTCTGTAGTAAATACGAATTTTACAAGGGACTTTGAATTTCGAACTCTTCAAAATGATCACGTCTTTTCCCTTTGTCAAATACTACTGATAGCAGCTAATTAACAGCCGTGTGGACTTGATAATTTCCCGCTTACATTACAAAATCTGCAGTAAGGGGTTACTGTACTTTATTATCTATGAATCCATCATGAAGGGAAAATATGTACATTGTTTAAAAGGAATGCAAAACACAATTCACGTCTATTGTACATCAAGGTATTTGTTTGCATGATTTGATTTGATTCAAAGCACGGTTGTGTGATGATAAGCATACTGTGCCGTTAAAGCACTGGTGTACAGACGCTTCAAGTAAATCCCATACATTATTATGCCTGGTATACATAGGGTTAAATTCTTTTGGGATTCTCCTGTTGTTTATGTGGCGCCTGTTTTTGGCATCGCTTAAAATACTGAAGGACGTACCATTGTGCGTGTGTACACTCGATCCATGAATTATATCCTCGCTGTTATTCAGTTTGCGACAAAATATAATTCACGAAGTGAAAAGGGTTTCACGGCTGATCTCTTTACAAATAGTCATAGAATTGAACTCTATAAATTCGAGAAAAAAATGTCGTTATAAGTGGAATGAAACTCGGAGAGAGATATGAATCAAGAAATGGTGGTTTTACACTCTTTATGCTCAATTAAAGGCATAGATATACCATTAGAAATAAGAACATTTGAGCGATAAAAAGCTGCACTTGAAGAAGATACACAAAAAATGTTTTTCATCCAACCTGACCCCGTTAAAAAATTAGAAGCAGTGGAACAGGTTATGGTTAGTATACATGGTTATGACAGTAACCAAGATAAAGATATTACAATACGTGTGTGTGTGTTGGGGGGGGGGGTGGTGCGTGTATATGTGTGCGTGTGTTTGACAGGGGGGTCTATGTTTCCGTTGATATATATTTCATGTAATATTTTTTGTATCACTTTCCGAGAAGGTCTCTAGATTTATTAAAAACACCATTTTAAAGATAAAATAGTTATTTAAGAACCTCAAAACAGTTGGATAGAAGTATATGGACTGATTATGACAAAGGGATACGGCGTGGATGCAAACATGAAAAAGCCAAATACGCCCCCACCCCCCCCCCCCACATTCCCCTCCCTCCCCCCCCCCCCCCCCAACTCAGGGGTCGGAATGATCGCATGCGTGTTGCCAAAATATCCGGTAAAGGGGTGCTTTTCGTGCGACAAAGTCCGGCCCGAGTATTGTAAAAAAAAAGGGTTGTATTTGACTTTTCACCCGGAGATTTCTTTAAAAAGGGGGTGTTTTTCCTTTTTTTCTCTCATCTCTTTGGACTCCTGAGAAGTTATTCAGAGTTTAGGGGGGTACATTGAGCATTTTTCCTGATTTAGGGGGGTCTCCAAGGCAGGAAAAGCCCGCGAAAAGCCCGCGAAAGGGGGGTTCGGAAATGTTGGCAGTCCTCAGATAGGGGGTGCTTTTAAAAAGAGGGAACAAGCATATGCGTACCCTAAATAACACTGAGTGGGGGGGGGGGGCGGGCTCCCTCCCCAGTCCCCCTGCCGATTGTGGGATGGTGTTTCTCGAATTAGTTTTGTATTTAAGCCTTGTGATTGAATATGAATGATAAAAATGAAAACTAAAATGATAAAAATGAAAACTAAAATGACAAAAATAGGATGTTTTAGTAACTCGTGCATCTTAGATTTATTACAAAGAGTTTCTTGGAGGAAAAAAACATGAGGAAGACTTTAATTTAATTTAATTGGGTCATTTATATTCTATCAAAATATACTTAGGAACCCAAATTACCTGTGATTGCAATGGAAATGTGTACCATAATGCTTCAAAGAAAATAAACTATTAGAGACTGCACCACGTGGTGGTGATGGGGGTAACGGCGACTGCCTGACATGCATTTGGGAGCTATAGCGTGCTTTTCAATACAAAATGCTAGTAGTTGAAAATAATTGGGGTGATCTGCATATTATTTTCAATTTAATTGTCAAAATATGGGCCGGCGGGGTCAGCTATACATCCCAAACCAGCGCTAATGGAGCCTGAAAATATGGCTGGTTTGGTGTCCGAAAAATGTAAATATATAAATAAATTATTAAAAATTAATAATTAATGGCCCCCGTCGCGACGAAACAGATACATGCAGCCAAGGTTATAGACTCCGTAACTCGAGTATAAACGATGAATCAGGCATCTCTCGAAAGGAGTTGTCCACGTGAATGTATTTTACAGTTCTGTGGAGAATATCCATTGTTGTTGTTGTTGTTGTTTTAGTTTTATTGGTAGCGGTGGTTATTTTACCTGACAGCTAAAAAAAGCAATAAATGCTTGTTAGTAAGCAACCATAAAACCGACGCACAGTGGGCCAGGGAGGAACCAAAGTGCGCCAAAACTAATTTTGGGGGGATTTATCTTTTATAAATCCAGAGGAAATGTTTGGATTTCCAGGGATTTCCGCTTAAATTGTATTACCAACATTTTCTCTGATGTCTAAGCTTTAAGTTGATACCAGATTTGGCTGCCCAATTCTGCCCGATTCTGCCCGTCATTATGTTAGAGCCGTTTTCCTTGCAACATTGCACCGAAAAATATGTTTATTTTGGTCCGCGGTGTCAGAACGTGTGCCACGCGCCCCCACGCGCCGTGATTTATGACCGCGAATCTTTCATGATTTAGCCGCGGACCTAAAAAAAAAAAAATCGGGGCATTGTGGCAAGGGAAATCGCCTCTAACATAACAACGGGCAAGATCGGGCAGCCAAATTTGGTATCAACTTAAGCTTAGACATCCGAGAAAATGGTGGTATTACAATTGAAGCGGAGTTCTGAGGAGATCGAAACATTTTCTTTGCATTTATAAAAAAACATGGATAATTAGTCCATTTTTCAGTGAATTACCCTATAGTATATCATGAAGATTGTGTTTCTATCAATTTTAACCCATTCATGCAACGAAATGAACTATCAGGAATATGTGAGAGCAATTTCATATCGATAACTTAAAAACTACATGACAGATTTATAAAATAAGTCACTTTTGCACTAAAACTGTGATTTTGCTGTTTCAAGGAGTAAATTTATACCCTTATTGTGCATACCGGAATTAAATATTTCACTGAGGTATTCCTCAATGTGTTACCTTTCAACTGGGCAAGACAAAAGTTGGAGAAAAAAAAAATCACCAAAAATGAGTTTTGGCGCACTTTGGTTCGTCCCTGGCCCACTGTGCGACGACTTAAGGTCCTCTCCGAGGGACCTGGTAATGAGGATTAATGCCTTACCAAAGGGCACTAGAGCATCTACTTGGATTCGAACCCCGGTCCCTCCACTCAGTGTTATTTAGGGTACGCATATTATATGCATGTTCCCTCCTTTTGAAAACACCCCCTAAGTCCGGTGTGTAAAGTCTTTTTTGTGCATGTGTTTATGTACGCGCCGGACTTTTGTGCGTGAAAAGTACCCCTTTACCCGACATTTTGGTAACACGCATATGGTATCCCTCTGTTCAGTGTGTGTGTGTGTGTGGGGGGGGGGGGGGGGGGCTTCGAACCCGGGTCACCGGATAACGAGACCATACCGACTGAGCTATCGCGCCTCCTTTTATTGGCGTACTGACATCGTAACCTACCTTCAGTCAAAGAAAACATTATTTTGTCCCCAAAGTACTTAAAGGTAAAGACCAGTAATGGTCATGCGATTGCATTGTGAAAGAAACGTTGTGGAATCGATCAGAAAAGGTTGATCATCTAGCACCTAGCATCTGCAAGGTTCTGGAATCATCAAAATGATAAGAAATTTGGCCCATTCTTCGTAAAGTTACAAGCACTATACACAGAAAGATGTATATGGGACTACCCTATCTCTCTCACACGACCATGAGAGAAATAAATTTACCAAATATATGAATTAGTAGGCGGTTTCCCGGCAAATTTTTTATCATCCTATATTAGTCAAAACATATTCTTTCACATGATTGGTAAGGAGAGCTTCCATTTCATTTTTTGAAATTGGGGCGTTACCAATACTGGTCTTTACCTTTAAGAAAACATTAACTGCTTTTCAAATTCGACACTAAAAGGCAAATTAGATAAGAAGGTAAAGTTTGGATTCGAAAGAAAAATAAAATAAAAAACGCCTTGAACAAAGCTAGCCATAACAGGGGCTAAAATTATCGTTCTTTGTTCATTCATGACTTCGTGTAAAACATTCTAAAATTTCATAGAAGAATGTGATTTTCTCTGGCCGAATCTGTCGTCATATATTCTTCCATAACTGCACTATATTTCAAAGTACAATTGAGGCGTTGAATTATCGACACTAAACGCTTACTATGGGTGCAAATCAAAGCGAACAGCAAGTTTCGAGGTATGATGCCCCTATCGAGTCGACGACTGGTCCGACGCCTGCAGCTGCGGCAGCGGAAGGAGGCAGCATACCGTATACGTTCTACTCTGTAGACAGGAATGCAGCTCCTGCTCCGAAAGGTGAAACCAGAATTCACATTCAATAATTACAACAATATTTCAATTTTCTGATATTATATGACTCCACCTCTTATATGTGTTTCCTTGCTGATTGGTTCGACATAATAAGGCAAGTTAAAATAAGGTCAAGGTCAATAGTCTACAAAGTTCTCTAGAGTCTAGGGCGTAAAATAGTAAATAAAACGTGCAGAAATCTAGTTGATGCATTACAAACTCACTGATATCAATCCACTGACTGGGAGGTCATGTCATTTTTTGTTGATTCACACACAACCTTTGTATATTTACAAACGTTGCTGCGTGCAGAAATTACAAACTGAAATTAACACGGCAAGTGATGTCGTCAATGTAATGACGTGATGAGAGGGAAATTGAGGATTTTTGTATCAACCAAGTAACAAGTCAATATGTTGTGAATGATGAAAACAAATTATGGAAATAGAGATAGCTTATATGTTTTACCCTTATGCTTATTTCATTGCTGTTATGCGGGTCGCATTTCATTTATGAGCCATTTTTGTAATTACATCAGAAGAGCTCATTACTGTAGTCTGTACACCCAAGCCGGACAAGGGTGGCCTGTACATATATCAAAAAAGAAGAAGAAGAAGGCACTATACTTAGACTAGTTTGTTCTCCCTTTTTTTTTTGTACGAAATAATCAATGATATACTCCATGTTCTTGTTTCCTGTAATAAATCCTTGCTCAAAAATTGCCTTTGTAGATAATAGAGTGCAGGCCTTAGCCAAGCAGCAGCAGGGAAGGTCCACACCCACAAAGGGCTCGCCCCAGAGAAGTCCTAAGGTGGGGTCAGCGGATCACAAGATTGTGACGGTGTCGGCGGGGACTCAGGGAGCCGACCAGTCGCTGTCTTTTGAGATTCAGAAGATGAGAGACATCCCAACGTTCATGCCCATTTTGAAAGGCACCCACAGCGTCGCACAGGTGGAGGACCCTAACCAGATGGAGAAAATGGATCACAGGTGATTTTGATGAGGGTGATGATAGTGGTGGGGATGGTGATATGGTAGTAAAGATGATGATGATGTTGGTGTTGATGGTGATGATGATGAGGGTGTTGATGATGATGGTGATGATGGTGTTGATGATGGTGTTGACAGTGATGGTGATGATGATGGTGATATTTGTAGATAAAAGTGAAGGAGATGTGAGCGGTGATGATGATGATGATAATGATGATGGAGACGATAGTGATGGTGATGATGGTGATATTTGTAGATAAAAGTGAAAGAGATGTTAAAGATGATGATGATGGTGAGTATGATAATGATGATGGTGATGATGATGATTAGTTAATGAAATCTTTATTGATAGAATTGCAAAATGACAAACAAAATATTATTTCTGGGTTTCTTGTTTCAGCGTGCCACGTGCCCCTTTAAGTATAGTTACATTCTTTTCTCCATGTTTCCTGAATATTTGTAGACAGTTGCTCCTGCTGTGTTTGCGATACCAGCATCATCTCCGGCAATGCTCCGAGGCAGTGACCTTTGACCAGAATGCTCTGACAGGGAGAATCAAAGAGGTAAGATATTCTTGTAAAATAAATGTTGCTTACTTATTTCTGAGCAGGTCACGTGACCCATCTTTCTCTAAACTGACCTAATTTGCATAATTTGCCATTAAATATGGCAACCCTTTACAGAATCTTATACCTATGTTACCTTTTATAACTCATATAAACGTCAAGCAGGGTTTAAACTGGCTCATAGGTCAGTTACGTTTGTTTATACATGTTCAAATCATCTTTATCTAAGATATATGCAAATTTGACTTGGCTTCAAACTTCTCACTTTCTGTGATTGTACACATTACATGGCTAAGTCAATGCATAGCTCGCCTAATAAACACACGCTACAATTCATTACGGACCATAATTTTCGTGCCCAACATATTCAAACACAAGAAGCTATCATTATATGCCATTGCCATACATATGAAAGTAAAACATCAAATTTCACTAATAACTACCGGTAGTAATTGTACACTTACAACATTAGGTTTATCGAAGAACAACAATATTAGAGGTGATTCTCAGGGGGATTATGTCTGTGCATACTAACACACGTGTTACTGCGGCGAAGCTTACAGCTCCCGCTAGCTGCAAACTGAAAATATCTCTAAGTAGCTTCTCGCTTCTGACGTCAGCTGACACAGTACACTAGTAATGACAATTTACAAAGGGTTCTAGTAAGTTCAAGTTCAGTATTTATTCAATTCTATAAAAACAGTTACATAAAAATACTACTTTTACATACGTGTAATTATAATTAACATGGTACAATATTGACAGTAAAAAAAAATAGGAATTTGGTTGCTGTATAAAAACCCTAGAGGGTTTGTCTGGACTTGTCTGGACTTTGTCGGTGGGACTTGAACCGTGGACCATATGATCCATAGTCCAATGACTTATCCATTATAGACCACGACACCTCCATAAGGCATGGTATTATTAAAGTTATTTTGTTTTACTTTTATTAGGTGGATGCCATCATACACAGTATAATGCAATCCATGGCTGAGCGGCAGAAGCGATTCGCCAAGCATGCCGAACAAATACAGAAGATCAACGAAATGTCAGGAACTCTAAAGCGTGTTCAGATGAGTGTAGATCAGCTAATCCCACTTATGGACCGTCTGAACAGCGTATTGCCGGATGCAGAGAGATTGGAGCCTTTTACGATGCGCCCGACAGGACCTAGGACGTGACTCTCCATTTTGACAAAGTGTTAAAGGGAGTGTGTCATGACGAGACTGTGTCTTTCCCGTGGCCCTACCCGGGGCCAATCGGGTATTAATACGACTATGGACGACGTGACTGCAGCATTCACGTGCGTGCAACAGACACGAAATTAAAGCGTGAGGAGAACTTCGGTCTGTTTCGCGAACCCTAGCAGTCTGAACCAGTTAATCAAGTTCATTCTTTTACGTGCAGTTGTCCCATAGAAGACGTAGATGGCGTCAACCAGTAATTCCCATGCTACACTCCCTTTAATGCTGAATGGTGAAATATTATGAACCTGTAAGAGTATTACATACTAAGCTAGAAGGAACCTCAACCTGGGCGTACTTTAAAAGGAAAAGGTCAGGTTTCCAAGTGCAGGAGGTCATAATTCACTAACACCAGACTTGGTTGAAATACCATTGATGGGTGTACAAGATTTGCACACAGCAAACCCCTTGTCCCATCAAGAAGTACCCCTTAGTCCCTCTGAGAGTCTTCGGGTGAAAAATGCAGAGATTTACATAGAACTGAAGGCTAATCCTGGTGGTCGACAACACCTGTCATTGGGTTGACGCCTGCCCTGAATACTGTTGAATTCCCCATGAGAGCCCACTACTGTGCGTCTTTAAGTCTGTATTCAATAGAGCTTTAACGTGGAACATCAATACATGAATACTGTTGATGATGGCCTGTCCTTAAAGCAAAGAATAAGAAGAATATTAGAATATTGGCTGGCTGTGTATTGACCCCGAGACAACCTAGACCAGAGACTGAAAAGTACAGATGTATCTGGTGGCATCGCTTCATTTGATAGCGAAGTAAACACATTCCCCCTATTTGCTGACTAACAAGAGAAAAATTTACAAAAAACTACCTCTTTTTGCCTAAAACTAGTTATACAATTGCCTTTAAAATTGAAATAGAACCCTAATTTTGCCTTGTAAAGTACAAATTCACAAAATGGACCATATTTTTGCTTAATTTGCCTCATGTTATTTGATTCCCAGATTCCTCTGTGAAACTACGACCCTTTTTCAGGAAATTTCATGGGTCCATAAACTCAAGATGAAGTGACACTCACCTTTCTTCAAGTTTTATTGATTTTGTATTTTATTTGTATTTGTATTTTTTTTTCTTCAACAGGGTAGCCCCGTCAGTAGTTAGGATACTGTTATACATGGGGGCCCTGCATAACATTTAAACAAATATAAAGACATACATATACATGAAAACATCATTACATGGTGAATAGTAAACATGATATATTAGAAAGAATACAGATAAAATGACCGGTAAATGTATGAAACTCTTGAATGATGAGCCAGAGATATCTTGGATTCAAATCTTTAAAAAATGCATGTTGCCCCAAAATCAAATTCTGTCCGAAGAAAAGATGTGGAGTATGCATACTCAAAGTTCCTTTGCACTTATTAAGCACAGCTTATCGCCTCAGCTATATAGGCAAGCCGATCAGGTCCACATGTTATGTCACCGTAACTGTGGCAAATTTGACCCCTGTTGACCCATAATCTGGAGGGGTGCTTAAAATTAGGTTTAAATTTACTTTTGTGCAATACTCAAAGGGAAAATATTTGTTATTCATTTATATTTGTATCCTATGTTAATTCAGCTTTCCACCAATATAAATTTATATGTTTTCATTGGAAAGGGTCTTTAACTGATATATGTTTTCTTTTTGCCATGTTGGTATTTTGAGTTGGTTGACTATGTCATGTGTGTAGATTGCACCTGATGGAAAGAGACATGTAGTTCTATCTGACAAAAAGAAAACACAATTTGATAATTACAAGTATGTTTACAAGACTACTCTTATGTCTAATCCTTGGTCCCTCACAGTATGTTGGTGACTGAATGTTATGATTAAAGAGAAGGTTGAGTTCTGGGAAGAGGTGAACAATAATTTGTGAGCATTACTCATTCTTATTATGCAAGTGTGGAAGAACATCAGATAAGACATCATGTTCCCTGAAAAGCTGGCTCTTCAAATGCCTTTATATTCTAAATATGCATGTAACATCGTAAAAATCGGGGGGCCGGCTTTTTACGTCACATGTTCGTGTAGTCCCATATACATCTTTCTGTGTACAGTGTTTGTAACTTTACCAAGACTTGGGCAAATTTCTTATCATTTTATTGATTCCAAAACCTTGCAATACACACAAATTCTTATATGCTAGATGATCAACCTTTACTGATCGGTTTCACACCGTTTCTTTCACAATGCAATCGCATGACCAGAACTCAACTTCATCTTTAACAGTTAGCAACTTAATTAGGCCTAAAAAAAAAAAGATGTTGTATTGCCCTTTGCGACCGACCCAAAAATCTTGTAATCTACGGTCGGCTTTTTAAAAAAGGTTTTTTTTAACCGTGTTTTAGAAGAAAAAAATGTATTAAAGCATTCAAAACTGAGAAAAAAAAAAGTTTTCATTTTTTTAAATTTCTGACCGACCAACCCATGTTTTGGCACCTAAAGGGCAATATAACATCTTTTTTTAAGGCCTTATTAGCACCCCTTTTAAATCCCCACTGCGCTACTTGTAGCTACTTGCTTCTTCTGTATATAAAATAATGCCTAAGCGGTGCCCATTGGTCCCCCATGATCCTCTTTTTCTTATAACTGAAAGCTGAGTTGATGAGATAACCACCTGCCAGTGACCAAACTGAGAGGTCTAATCCCTCCTGGCCAAACTAGTGCAGACAGGCTTTAAACGATGATTTTTTTTTTGTAACTCAGGGATGAAAAGTGGACCGGTTAAAATAACTAGGGCATTTATTGAATGCCTTCAGATGTAAGTTTTGAATATGTCACATTCTCAAGAAACATAAATCAGGACAAATCAATTTTTCCACATAACTTAACAAATTACAAAACTCAGTAAGGGTATGAATAATTTAATTGTACATTACTAGATATTATACTAAATGTACTGTTTACAGTGCATATAAAAGAAAAGTGTACCCAACTTTGCTAGTTTCTAATTAAAGAGTTTTGGTATAACCTTTGTCAAAGATAAAGTTGAGTTCTGGTCATGCGATTGCATTGTGAAAGAAACGGTGTGGAATTAATCAGAAAAGGTTGATAATGTAGCATATAAGTATTGGTGTGTACTGCAAGGTTCTGGAATCATCAAAATGATAAGAAATTTGGCCCAGTCTTGGTAAAATTACAAGCACTGATGTACACAGAAATATGTATATGGGACTACACGAACTTGTGGCATAAAAATTTGTCCCGATTTTTATGCTGTTACATGCCATATTTAGAATATTAAGGCATTTGAAGAGCCATGCATTTCAGGGAACATTTTTATCTGATGTTCTTCCACGCTTGCATAATAACAATAATAACGCTCACAAATGATTTATCACCTCCTCTGAACATGCATGTGACACCTGTTCTACAGATTTTTACATAATATCAGTGAAGGGATGTTCCTTTGTCTACCACAGCAATTGTTGAGGGTAGAATGAGGAACTGTATATTTTGTTATCTTTCTTTGTCCGTGATGTTCATAGTGGAATGTGGATCAAAAGCTATTAAGTGTGTGTTATCTCATTCCAAAAACAATTGCTCATTAATTACTTACATTGAATTATAAATATTAATCAATTGGAAAAAAATGGTGTTAATATCAACACAAAATCTATGAAAATTTATAATATTCTTTTCGTCAGGGATGCATCATAATACAAACTCACTGTAATTATTTCTTAAAGCGGGACTGCACGACTTGTAGCTTCTTGAACCCTCTATATAGCCAACAATGCCTACGTGACACCTGTTGATCCCCATGGCCCCCTTTTTCTTATGTTAATTGAGAGCTGATTTGATGAGATAACCACCTGCAAGTGACCATGCAGGGAGGTCTAATCCCCCTGGCTAAACTAGTGCAGCAAGGCTTTAAAGGGAAATGCAACTCGCATGTTATTTCCAAACCTCAAAATACTGCTATGGAGTACACTCCCACTCCCTCCTCATCTAAGAATGTGACTTTTATTATATGTGTAATTATATTCCAGTGGCTATAATGTAGTAAGGCTTGTCAGTGTATAGAACTTTTGTACCGTTCTGAAAATTCAGCCATGCAAGATTTACACGAACACATGTATTTATGTCATGGTCATGCTTTGTATAAAGTTGTAAAGTGAGACTGAGTATTGAAAAATATATACCGGTATGTATGTAAAATTTGTCATGGTATTTATTGTGATGAGAAATAAACTTATATTGTAATATGAACTAAATATAGATTTGTTTTTTATTCTGTATAAATAGTTATTCCCCTGTGGTTTTAAGTTATTGCCCGATTTCCGCTTGCATGATAAACGATACAAAAAGAAATATGATAAGTTAAAAATCATGCGTCCGGTAAAAAAAATTTGCTGGACGCATGATTTTGCCATGCATCCGGTTAATCTGTAAAATAACAAAATTTTGTATTTTTGACAATTTTTGGGGCCCCATCTTATAAAACAGATGATGCACAGGTTTAATTCGTGGGTCAGTGGAATTGTGTACACGCGGTACCTTTGAATTTGGTCTAAAACTATACAAAGGTACCTTGTGCACACAATCCCTACGGACGCACTCAAACCTGTGCGTCATTTGTATACAGTTATCCACATTGGTCTATTTTTCCAAATTAGAAATTGATAATGCCACAATGAGTTGATTGATTGCCATTGATCCTTGTATCCAGGTTAACAACTGACGGACAACTTTTCATATCATTTGTCCTTCTTACACCTCTGTTAATAGGTGTATTTGAGCTAGGAGATATTTATAAATTCCCTATCAGGGATTTGCAAGCCCTCAGAAAGATTTCTTGAAATTTATCTGTAGCAGCAAGTGAGTTAATGAAAGTAAGTGCAAAATTTCAGATCAAAAGACTGGATTTATCCTCGGCTGATGGTTGAAAATTGAAGCCCTAATTTTGTACACAATAAATGGGCCGAATAATTCACTGCCACATGCAAAATTTGTCATTTGAAAAGAAAAATGACTGCAGTTTTGCTAATAATAAATATTTTGACACCATACTTTAAGAGAGTTTTCAATTATGATTTGTTAACAACATTTTGGCCCTTCTATTTTTGAGATTTCTCCCATGCAAATCCCAGCATGTGACCCCTTTTCACTTTCAGAGTGTTTCTTTTGTTTTCTCTTTTTTGTCTGTATATTTTTTTCTTTTGCTTTGTTTTTATTTTTGTATTATGTTTTTGTGTTTTGTTTTGCTTCATTGTAGCAGTCCATAGCAGATGGTCAAGAATTAGAATGAGAGGAGGGGGTTGTGAGAGGGGAAAGCGGGTTTTATTTGGGGTTTGGGTAGAGAGAGAGAGAGAGAGAGAGAGAGGGGGGATATATAGAGAGAGATAGACATATAAGAGACGGACAGACAGACAGACAGATACATTGGGAGAAAGGGATCGAGATGAAGAGGAAAGGGCAGAGAGACGACTGCATATGGTGGAGAGCAACTCCAGGGAGCTCATATGTACAGCCTATAATACTCTTTTCAGAATGTACAGCTTGTATCATTTAGCTTGCATTGTGATGGTTCTATTTTTTCAGTTCGTGCACCGGTCAATGTGTTTGGGTTCTAGTGCATTACGCCGTCCATTTAAATGATTATTATTCCATTGTTATTTGGCGTCTCTACCACACCATACTTGTGATTCGTAAACCGAAAGGAAACGATGGTCGGAAGTTTCATTCAGCATAGTGGAGTCAACGCAATACGCTGAGGAATTAATTTCTTATAGGAACAGATACGGAAAAGGTCTGAAATGGCGAATGGAGAAGGAACGAGTTCTGCTCCAGCTACCAGCGCAGCACCTAGGAGAGGTATAATATGGCTGTTTATTTTAAATCTGCAGTTTGTAATGGCCATGGCCGCTTGTTGCAATTGTGACGCCTCACTCGTTGCGCATGTCAGCGGTTGCTCATGAACGATCCCCGCTTACGCGCTGGGGTGACAATCGTAGCATCGTGGTACTGAGTATGACCATTAATGATGACCGTACTGGTATCTAGAGCCCAGTTTAGAATGTCAACATGAGAGTGTACGTGTGTGTGTGTATTAGGTTTTTACAGACGTGTATTAATCAGATATGATTTTTTACGTCTGGGGACTGACCTTTAAACGTCACCGTCTGAAAGACGTGACTCAATTTCGAACCTGCGTCCTCGGCTGAATCAGTTTGTAACTTCCATTGTTACTGTTACTTAGCTGGATTACAGGTGCACGCCACAACGCCTACACAACATGAGTGTGTATAGATCTATAGCAAGCGCCCAGAATTCTATTATATACCTGGGCCAAGCAAGGCTAGACTAGACGGTAGACCTCTGCCTGTTTCAAAATGCAATATCGCAAGATGGAAATAATGTTGAAGAAATCCCTGTTGTTGTCATTAACATTGCATTGTTGTCACTTGTCTGTTGATGTTATTTTTATTATTTGTTTGTCCCCTCAAACAACCAATACCAATGGTTGTTGCTGTACACTCGGCCAATACAAAAATGGCCCCCAAAATGCAAAATGAAGGCTTGAAGTTGATCTGTAATGACTTAGAAATTAACTATTAAGTATTATCATGATCAGGACTAAACAAAAATGAGGATTATTTCTATGTAGTTTTGACTTAGACTCTATCATGTGAAATGTGATACTATCACTAGTGATAGTAGGACTAGTGGGGCAAGTTAATTAGTCGCAAGCCTGATTAGTCGATCAGTTTCTCCTTCAAGTCGCTTGTGTTTGTAATTGATAATGGCGTGTTCAAAGTTGTTTCCACTTGTAAGTGTTTTTAGTTGATCCCTGGCATGATTATCTGTCTCATTTTGAAAGCAAAATTAAATCTAGACCAAAAGTTTTATCCATTTTGCATATGTTCCGCTGAGACTACGTTAGGCTTCGCCATGAAGCCGTGAAAGACAAAAAGTGTTTTGGTTTAAATCTTGCAAGCAGATGTTTCTGTCTAGACTGTATGAAATCAACCAAAGTTTGGTCTGCCACTAATAGAGAGATTCTTCTTTCTTCATGTTCATGGGGTTCATGTTGATCTATAAAGATATTCAAAATCAAATACAATATTGGGTGTTAATTGGTAGAAGTTCAATTGACTATAATGAGTATGACAATGTACAGGCTAGTCAGGCTTATCTTGCAATGACTAATGACAAATTCCTTCTTTCCTTCACTTGCAGGGAAAACGATAGCTGTTGTATCCTTTACAGAACTGTATTTACTTGTAGTTGGTTTAGTATTCTATTAAGATTTTGTTGAATGTTACACTAAATATATGGAAGAACTTTCTTACGTGATCTGGCTTTGCAAAAAGGAAGGTTACTGATTGAGAAAGCTATTAACCAGTTATCTACAAATTGCAACCATATCCTCCAAAAAGTTTAATCTCTCCCATTCCCTAAATATGGATAAATTGACAAAACTTTTTTCAGTTCATAGAAATTTTCCCATGTCAATTGTGTCGTAATTAGTCAAAATGGTTTGAGCACTTGACTGGAAATGCAAGTGTCAAATCCCTGTAACGGCACGAATGACCTTTGAAAGGCATTAATCTACATTTGCCACTCCGTACCCAGGAGAGGAATAGGGACCTGGATGTTTTTCTGTATTAGGCAATTATTTATATTTCATGTGTATAGTATTAAAACAGAAAGAAGGAAAATGGCAGGATTGGTAGGATGTTTTTACACTAAACATTTTTTTTCTGTATAGAGATGATATCCTTAGCTTTCCAACTCAGCTCTCATCTCTGCCTCTACAAATACTCTTCTATTTGAATGGATGGTATTTTGCCTTTCTCTGGCTGTGTGAAGCATTGATGTACATTTACAAAGGTTAGTCTATTCCTGTCCAGGAACCCCTTTCACGAAGCTGTTTTTCAATGACAAATGACAAAAATTAGCAACATATCTGGCTTTATCTGCTGATAACAAACCAGAAGCAAGGATTCACTAGCTTATATACAGTGGTCCCAGAAAAAAAGAAACCGAGAATTATCAATGTTTTATCATAACTTAGTCTTAATCACAATTATAATGAATAAATAAATAGCTAAATAGCTTAGATCCTCCTCTTTTATTTGATGGAACTCATGATATGATGCATATTTCATGCATGAGTGATTAAAAACGATTTGAAGAAAGGGTACAAAAAAGTCATTTGGCGGATGGTATCTGAATTTCAAATATGAATTTTCATTTTCTGCCCTTTCATATGACACATCAATCAGGAAAAATGAGCCAGGAATAACAAAGTTCTGCATGTTAAAAGTAGTGCTTGCATTCCATAATTTCATTAGACAAATTCGTTTTCAGTGGCTGCCTGCCATAGCAACAAACAACAAACTCTGTTTTGTTGATGATCAGACATGCATGCAGTCTTTTGTCTTCTTCGTTGAAAAGTGATAAATATGTTTAGACTTTTATATCAAACTTGTTATTATTTTTTGTCTTTTTAATTAGCATCAATAATGAACTTTGCTGAAAATCTTATGAAGAAACCTCCTTTTAAACCTTGTTTTAACCTGGCCTCATACTAGAAAACTTTACTGTTATTTTGGTCTTCATTTTTTTCCAGGTTCAGTACTACCATACCCCACAGAGAATCTGGCTGGAGAATGGGTCCTTATCTTCCTCTTAGTTGCCATTGAGTATGTCAGGTTGTTCTTAGGTAAGAAAGAGTATCAGTCTTTCTGCCTTTTACCCCTTTCAAACTGGCCTGATTTTCATCGGATGCATCCGGACGCATCCTATGAAACGGCCACTACAGAGGAGAAAAAGCTGATTAAATAGCCGATGAAAAGAAGAGAAATAGGCAATTAAATTGTACTGCTCAAGGAGAAATTTGCAGGAGAAATTCTCATTCTATCGGTGTGACACCTATTAATCAGCCACTGTGAATGCCTTCGGGAGAAAACAGCGATTAAAATGGTCTAATGTTGCAGTGTACGTGCGCTTTATCGTAACCAGCTGTGTTTGTTGACTTTTTGTTGGACATGCTGCATGCCAGCTAGATAGGGCGCGGGCTAAATAGTTACGTAATAATTCTGCACTTCCGGCAAGGGCTCACCACAGCGAGTGAATTTCACCGGCAGTATGAAAGCGACAGTTTACATAAGGAAAATTCAATCGGTATTTTCATCGGTGTGACTCCGATAGAAGCCAGTTTGAAAGCAGTATAAGATGTACATTGTATAATCTCCATAACAATAGACAAAAGAAAATGTATTTTTAATGCAGGTAAGATTTTTTGTCTTTCTTTCTAGTACAACAAAAATGATTCGGCTACTAAATGGGAAGAATAAATCTAGACCCATAAAATGCTTGATACAAAATACTTCTCTAAGCACTTTGCAGTTGACCTGCTGTTTTTGGAAAAGATATATGACACCATTTAAAAACTGGATTATCAATTACTTATCAGTTACTTTGTTTGTTCTGTAGGAAAGAAAGGGAACCTGACGGAGAAGGTCGTCCATCTTGCCGTATCCTTGGCGTTATCCATGGCAACACTGTTTGGCGCCCTCTATCTCATCTTGTGGCAGACCTACGTGTTACGAGCGGAGTTAATCCTCAATGCAGTGCTTCTTTGCTTCCTGGGGCTTGAACTGGTATTCAGTATAATTGCTGTCATCTCATTCGGCAGGTAAGTTGCTTTGCACAGAGTATCTTTATCCCTCCTTTACCGTATATTTTGAAGGGATCCAGTATTTTTGTCTCATATTCTGAAACAAAATTCTGAATTTAGCTCATGCTGCAATGATAATTATAAACCTTTAGGTCAGTCAGGAACCCCATGACTTTTACAAGCCTGTCCGATTATCAAGATATTTATGATTGGAAATCGAAACCAAATTTTGTGTTTACCAAACGGTTTGCATAACACTACAGTCTGTTGCGAAAAACGAGTTTGGTAAAACCGGTCACTCAAATATTTTTACTTTTTTGAGGCACTTCTTGATCATTTTGTTGGGGCTTCAATATTACACAATATCACAGACACTGATAACACATAGGGCCGTGTATCTCAGATTTCACATTGTTAAACGACCCCTTTAACACAGTGTAAATGCCTTTCCGACTCCGAATGAAAAATACAAATGAGATGAAGGCATCCTTAGCATGCTTCAGGCAAACCCAGCAATATGCACAAGTTTCAATCTGTGTCCTCGTTTGCATGGATTTTGAGCGACTTTGTGTTTGATTTCTTTTCTATTTTTAGTGATTTCTGAAAATTTAACAATGGTAAAGAGTGAAACAAACTAATGTGATTGAATCTTGTAACAATTGTTGAAAGTGTCCACTGAACAAAGACATGGATGTATCGCCACACACCGTTGCGTGTACAGTATATTAGGACGCACACCAACACACTGCTGCACACACAGCAATGTGGACTTCTTGTAATCACACATGAATTCAAACAGAGGCAAGCTAAACTTTGGATCAAAATTTGTGAAGCTTAGATTTCATTCTGTAATACTTTGAAATCCTCATTGTCCAAGGTTAATCAGGTACAACATACGCTTGATATAGGACGTTCTTCCATTGTTGACCAAATTTGAAACAGCTTTTGTCACCAACTTTTTCCCCTTTGCCAGAAGTCGGCCTTCTCTGATTCCTGTATACAGATTTGATTGAATGCAATGTACCGGTATATAAAACAAAATCGAAAGAAAATGAAAATATAATTTTGGTAAATAGATTCAATCACCATAGTTTAATTTATTTATACATATTACAAAGTATTTCCCTTTGATTTAGCTTTTCAAATTGTGTATCTCCTGTTTGTGATACATCATTAACTCTTTGTATTCCACACAAATAATCTCCCTGTGCCCCTTTAAATTCATCAAGGGATTTACCAAAGCCATAACAATTATTTAACTATTTCCGTGCAACATTAATCTATACAGGTGTTAAAAGATTGTAATGGAGCTCATCAAGACCTGAACTGGGTAATTTTACAAAGTCACTGTGTTGCACAAAACAATCTATTCATCAAGTGGTGTCTACCTGTATTGTTTTTGTGCAAAAGTGCACGTGTGGCAAATGGGAGACCATGCAGAGAGGCGAAGGAAGCAACTGAAGTGTTAAAGATAAGCTTGAGCTCTGGTATTGGCATCGTATGTCGAGAGAACGTGGCTGTAATAGGATTGTTGACCCTGCAGTCACTATGAAGATGACGGACAAAGAAAGCGGACAAAATATACAGTTCCTCAGGTAGACAAAGGAACATCCCTTCACTGCTATTATGTAAAAATGTGCAGAACAGGTGTCACATGCATATTCACCTGTTCTACACATTTTTACATAATAGCAGTGAAGGGATGTTCCTTTGTCTACCTGAGAAACTGTATATTTTGTCCGCTTTCTTTGTCCATCATATTCATAGTGAGTAGATTGATTGTTTGAACCAGTAAAATAAAAACAACCTCACAAAAACTTGCTGGAAATCATCTTCAATAAAAAGCACAACTCTTATTTGCACATAGCTGTAGTGACCTGTGTTAAGCACATGGTGTTGGGCCTACTTGCCTTGATGTCTTTATCTTTGTTTGCTCATTACTTAGCCTCTATACAATTTCTACCAAAATTGTTTGGCACATGTCTTTTATTTATAATCTTGAACATTCAATGTAAGTTTTGTTGGCTTCTGTGAGAATTTATTTTCTATCATTACCAGAACTCAAGCTTATCTTTAATATCATGTTTTATATTTCTTCTCTTCTTAGGGCAAATCAAACAGTAAGATGAGAGGTCCAGACGGTACTTAGCTCCTAGTCATCACCCAGTACTACTCCAGGGGGTGTTTCACTAAGCCTTTTTTCAATGACAAATGACAAAAATCAGTGACAAATCTGCTGATAACCAAACACAAACTGTCATTTGTCACTGATGAAAAGTTTTGTCAAACGCCCCCAGCAGCGAAGGATGATGTATTTCTACAGATACTGCCTCGTCTTGGGAAACTGCTTTGAAGGAATGAAAAAACGACTCTATTTTGCTGTGAATTTTCACCATGTTTCAGTTTAACATAGCCCGATGCAAAATTTTACTTGATCTAGCAGAAAATTTAAGTATAAAATGAGATTCCTTTATTTCGTAAATTTAAATTTTCACTTCTGTCATGGGGGGGGGGGTGATTTAAATGTGACCTAATCCCATCACAGTTTGTCTTCATTATTGGAAATATTCTCAATTTTCTTTTTCATTTCCTATTTTAAATCTTTTACCAACTTTTTAAAAATATAATCATTACCAACAAAAAGTCACCTTTATGTACATGGGATGTTAAATAGTCACTCAGACATTTGAAATAGAATGTGTGACTAAATTTGCAAGCCTTTTGTTTTCTTTGGGTATTGCCAGCCAAGAAAAAACCTTGAAATGATTCATTGATAGGCCCTCATCACCTTGATTCCATAATGAATGCCTTGAGTATTGTCTGTAAAATAGATTAAGGTGTACCAATCATCTGAAAAATGATTGTGTTTCTTATGTAAGCGCGCTATGGTGTATACTGTAGAGGTGTCGTGGTCGAGTTGATACGTCGCCGGACTGTCGATCAGAAGGTCCGCGGTTCGAGTCCCGCCGCAGCGCTAATGTCCTTTGGCAAGACATTGATCTACATTTGCCACACTCAACTCAAGTGATGTAAATGGGTACCTGGCAGGAATTAATTCCTTGAAATGTTGGAGCGCTGTATAAACGGCAGCTAGGCTAAAGCCGGGTAATAATAATGCGCCTCGGAATAGAATTATCTAGATAGACGGCGCTATAGAAATGCCTTTTATTATTATTATTATTATACTTTAAGGCTTTACAAAAAATGTTGTTGTATTGACCTTTGGGACCGACCCCAATATCTTAAAATCTACGGTCATCTTTTTATTAAGGGTTTTTTTACCGATTTTTTAGAAGAAAAAAAAATGTTTAATGAAAAGAAAACAAATTGACCGACCGATCCAGGTGATGGCACCTAAAGGGCAAGACAACGTCTTTTAAAAAAAAGACCTAATACAAATGAATAATGTGAGCTTGAAATATTCCACCCGTACAAGCTTGAAGTTGAATGACACATGCATGGAACCCAAGTTAGACTTGGGTTCTGTACTTCAGGTTTTATGGTTTCCTTTATATTCTTCATACTTATAAACGATGAGCCCATTGAAAGACGGGTGAACTTTTGTTAAAGGTTGATGTTATAATACCGGTATGTTCTATCTGGGGGGTGTTTCATAAAGAGTTTGTAAAGTTATGCATGACTTTACGAACGACTTGTATATGAAGTGCCAGATAGGATGCCCAAAGTTTTTTCTGATATTTCCAATAACCTCAATTAAATTATGGCAAAAAATATACTTTGCATTAAAAATGGTTGTTATAATAAGAATGTTAATCTACATCTGCACAGTTCAAGTTAATAAATAATTATCAGTAATGATTGAGCATCCCATGTGGCTTTTCATATACAAGTCGTTCGTAAAGTCATGCGTAACTTTACGAACAGCTTTATGAAACACCCCCCAGTACTCGATTGTTTTTCAGGTGATTGGTACATTTTAAGATATGATGTTAGTACGATATTAGCATGTCAATGTCGTTTAGTTTCAAAAGTGTATCAGGAGTGTTTCATAAAGCTGTGCGTAAAGTTACGCATGACTTTACGAATGACTTGAATATGAAGAGCTAAATGGGATTCTCAAATCCTTTTAATTCAATAAGCTAAAGTTGAAATATGTAAATGTAGATTAAACTTATCATTATTAACACAACATTTTAATGCAATTTGTATTTTTAGCTACAATTTAATTGAGATTATGGGAAATACAGTCACACTTTGTTATAATGTCGGGAAAAACTTTGGGCATCCCATTTGGCTCTTCATATTCAAATGATTTGTAAGGTCATTCGTAACTTTTACACACAGCTTTATTAAACACCCCCCTGTTTGCACAATTGTTTCTTAAGTTGTTGTTAGCTTTTGTTGCTGTTTTTGTTTAAATGTTGGTCTTTCTCCATTGAGCATCACAGATAGACTTGTTTTCAAATCACCAACTGCTTTTATGTTTTATCCATTGCATACAATTTGATAATATAAGATTTTTTTTATTTTTTTTATTAACATTTTTTGTGCAGATGATCCCAAATTATAAAAGGGGTAAAAAAAATGGTCAAAATGTGTGATATTATCGTAGTATGCTTTCTTTGTACTTAAATAAAGCCCTTGAAGAAAAAGAGAAGAAGAAGGAAAGTATTAGATTGTGTATATATGTCATCCTAATCCTTGAAATCAAATGACGTTTATATTGTACATATTGCCAGGTATTTATATAAATTTGATAGCTTTTGATTGGAAATACATTGTCTATATAATGTATTTTTGTGAAAAATAAAATAATTGTGTGTTATTTCAAATTTAAAGAACGTTTCTGCTCTATTTTTTCCTTTTTTGTTGTTGTTAATGCTTCCATGGAGATGTGTACAATTTGAAACATTCATGTATTTTGTTGATAGATCAGGGAAGAAAGAAAGAAGTATTGTTAAAGGAGAAGGGACATGGGATTGAGGAGAGGTGAATAAATAGATTGAAGAAGAGGGGTAAGAGAAGTGCGGGAGAAAGGAAGAGAGAGAGAGAAAGAGGAGGAGAGAGAATGAGCGAGCATGAGAAGAGAGAGAGAGGTAGAAGGCATGGCAGAAACTAGTCCAGAATTTGGCCGGTTCTTTATATTCCCTGCACTTGATTCAAGCCGCCGAAGATGGCGTTATCAACGAAATATTACGCTCACCATCATCTGAGAATTTTTCGCCGGGCGTCCTAATTTAAGGATCACGCCATCTTCGGCTGGCAGCGTGTACATTGATGTAGGGAGAGATCGCATTGCTTTGGTGGTAGAGATCAAAATTAACAAATCGGCCAGATTTGGACTAGGCAGAAACATGAAAGAGGAAGGCGAATAGAAGTCTGAAGGAATTTTACTACACTTTTGGCAACAGATGAATAATAAGATAAGGACTTAAAATGGGATCAAAACATAAATAATATCATAAAGAGAGCAAACAGTAAAATTCATATGCTTAGACTAAACGTCATGATCTACCCTATGCTGACTTGTTGACCATATACATGTGCTACATAAGGCCTGTCATTGAATATGCAGCCCCTGTATAGAATGGAGGCCTCACCAAAAACCAAATCACCAGGTTAGAAAGAGTCCAAAAGAGAGTTTTGAGAGTGATTATCGGTGCACGTTACTCAACTTATGACACTGTCCTAGATGAAAATCGAATCTCTCTCTGATAGAAGAATGAGTTTGTGCTTGTCGTTCTTCCAAAAGTCCCTACTCTGCACTGATCAATTAAAACAGTATTTCCCTCCGGAAAATATAAGTCAAGAACACTAAGACGTAAACCCCAAATTCCTGAACTTAGATGTAAAACTAAACGAAATCAATGCAAAATAGTCCAGTTCCGTATCCGTGCACTTAACCAAAGTAAACGATGAATGATCCTCCTTTTCAACAAAAAAATATATACAAAAATAAATAAATAAATTAAAAAAATGATCCTCCTTTTCTTGTATCCTTCAGACTTGGCAATTTCACCACCTTTTTGTTTGTTTTTGTTTTGCATCAGGTCTTTCGTGTTCTTTGTGCATGGCTGATCTTCAACGAAACGGAGTTAAGTCTTTTGTCAACTCTGTTCGTTGCAACGGCAAGAAGCCAGATAAAACGAACCCGTTTGATCAAATTATGGAAATGCAAGCATTATTTTATTACAAACAGAACTTTGTTATTCCTGGCTCATTTTTCCTGATTGAGGTGTCATTATGAAAGGGGGGAAATTGAACTTTTTAGAAATGTAATTTTCCCTTTAAAATTCAGATATACCGCCCGCCAAATGACTCTTTGGTTTCCTCTCTTCAAATTGCTTTTAATCACTCATGCGTAAAATATGCATCATATGAGTTGCATCAAATTAAAAAGGAGGATCTAAGCTTTCCAAATTATGTGTCATTTATTAATTATAATTGTGATTAAGTTATGATAAAACACCGACGATTCTCGGTTTTGTTTTTTCTGGGACGCACTGTATATTACATTATGTGTTATTAATTTTGTTTGTAAACTATTGTAATTCGGTTAAACGCCGCGATGAAAGTTTTATTTGAAATAAACCATTTTGAATTGAATTGAATTTGCGTACCAAGCCCCAACCCCCTACCGACCGCCCTCACACACACACACATTATCTCTCTTTCTCTCTCGCTCCCCTCCAATAATACACCCTCTTCCTTTCTAATCCCACATCATTCGCTCCTTCGATGACGATTATGTTACATGGCTGTTACAAGGAAAAGTATTATTTTCACCTCTTGTTTCCGTACAGAGAGAGGGAGAGAGAGAGAAAGAGAAAGGGGGGGTGGGGAACCCGATGGACTTACATGCTTATAACTTATGATTATGATTGCAACAGGAAATTTCCAAGATAAAATTTGCAATCGCGTAATATAGCACGATTTATGGAAGGGAAATAATCTAGTTCATCTTCCCTTTTCCACATGAGTTTGCAATATAGAGAGAACAAGGGGGTACACATTAATTAAAGAGAGCGAGAAAGGAACCCCCCCCCCCCCTAAGGGAAAAAAAATCGTTATTTATATATTCATTTATTTGTCTATTTTGTTGGCAGGGGGGGGGGGGGGTTGTATCGAAGAGTGGGAGGGGAGATGTCTGGAGCTAGGCTTCTGGTTAAAAGAAAATTGTATACCGTCATGCATCAAGCAAAAATGAATTACATGTATACTCAGTAAAACACGATGTCATTACAAAACAGAGAGTGATACAAGAAAGAAAAGCCAGGCAGGTTTCATGATGTGTGTTTTCCAATAAATCTGTTATTTCTTTACTTTTTTGGTAATGAAATCACATTTAGAAGGCAATAACAAAACTGACAAAAGATATTCATTATTGATTAATAAAACAATAACCATACCGTTGAGCTGAGAATTGATTACAAAAGCAATAACGATGGTGATGATGATGTCGGAGTATAGTGATTGCAATGAATAACGTAATGAAATTAGTTGTAATCGAATAAAACTATAGGCCAATGTATTTTCCTTAAAAAACAATTATTATGAGAATCAGGAATTAAAACTTTTCCTTAATCTTATATTTCTGCAACATAACACACATTCTGGGTGAAGTGTGAAAGTCTTAACACACACATGTACACACGAAATAAAAATGTTTTTTTATATCCCTTTCCAATAGGCTGTGTCCTAAATGCTATATTTTTATTATGTCCATTAAATGATGATAATATATAGATATGTCCATCTGACGTTGTACATGTATTTCATATATCTGCTCGTCCATGGCAGTCACGCAGTTTCCCCTATCACAGCTTCATTGTAACTATTACTAAGCCAGACAACCATTATTGGAGGACAATCAATTATCCTCTTTTAACGAGACAAGTTCGGCATAAGTGTACACGGATATATAAAGCCATGCTACTCGTTCGATAACGCTTAGACCTAGACAAAATAAAATCTATACAGAGTCTCACACATTTCACTTTAATTTATTAAATAAAATAATACTAATCATGGTGAAAAGACTATTAATAATAGTAATGAATCCCTAAGGTATGCTAAAACATTGTGCCCATTGTAACTTCTAAGATGCGGTGCCTTTATAGTTTTTCGGACGAAATTTTGGTGATTGGTGGATTTTAATGACATGTATGTGCGCATGCGTAGAGTAATGTATAGGCAGCGCCTTTCATGCCTATATGAGCAGGCACCAGAAATAAACATGTATTTGAAATGCTTAAGATAAGTGAAAAACACTTTAAAGAGGAAAAAACCCTCTCACGCAAAAACCAGCTTCGCGATAGAGTGCATATAACGTTAATTAATATGTGAGCTATTTAAAATACATTCATATATAATACATGTAAGCAAACATGTCAATTTTATTATACGTTTACAATACAGAACAATAAACAGTTCGCAATACATCTCTATTCGTCGGTACTCATTACGACTACCGGTAAATCTCAATAAATAGGCCTAACGCCAAATCCTCTCTTGAAAGATCAAACTTGAGTTAATATTCAACAAGTGAAAATAATGTAGTAAACGATTGTGCAGAAAATGTCTAAATTGATTTTCTTACAGTTACTATTTTTTGCGCACGTGATTCGTGTGCGAGACACTGCATATTATATTTTCTGATTATACGATCAATTTATGGTTTACAGAAAATAAGTGGATTTGTAAAAGTGACGAGTACGTGAAGGTAGTAAAGAAAGTGTAACGGAAACCTCAGTCACACCGACAAGACCGATATCACGCCGACAACACAACGTCCAAAGGGAGAGTTTGGCCAACAATACGGCGAATACTATTTTAAAGAAATATTATACGCCATGTTGTGACAATGTGACACCAATTTTGTTGGCTAAACTCTTTGGCCCGAATTCACAAAGGAGGTTTGTCGACAAACCTTGGTTTTCGTACGTCATATGACGCGTTTTTACGCGTTTTTTACAAACCTGGTTTGTAAAGAACTAAAGGAGGTTTGGCGAAACAAAAGGAGGTTTGTCGACAAACCTCCTTTGTGAATTAGGCCCGGCCCCCCCCCCCCCCCCACTCAGGTTTCGAAATGACCGCATGCGTGTTGCCAAAATGTCCGGTAAAGGGGTATTTTTCGTGCGACAAAATCCGGCCCGAGAATTGTAAAAAAAGGGGTGTATTTGACTTTTCACCCGGAGATTTCTTTAAAAAGGGGGTGTTTTTTCTTTTTTTCTCTCATCTCTTTGGACTCCTGAGAAATTATTCCGAATTTAGGGGGGTACATTGAGCATTTTTTCCTGATTTAGGGGGGTCTCCAAGGCAGGAAAAGCCCGCGAAAAGCCCGCGAAAGGGGGGTTCGGAAATGTTGGCAGTCCTCAGATAGGGGGTGCTTTCAAAAAGAGGGAACGAGCATAAGCGTACCCTAAATAACACTGAGTGGGGGGGGGGGGGGCGGGGAATTCGGGCCTTTGAGTATGGACTGCTCTGCCCCCATATATAGCAGGTTGAGAGAAATAGCTACGGCACTGGTAACGGTTACTGAGTGGTCAATCTTGTTTGGTGCCCTAAATAGATCCCTCCCATGGAGATTGCACTTGGGAGGGAGCTATTAAAGGGGCTGTAGCTTGGCAAATACTGGTTATCTGCACGTAAACGAATGGACTTGATAAACTGGGTTAGCGCGCTAGCGTTCGCAAAACAGACCGAAGTTCTCTTCACGCTTCGATTTCGCGTATGTTGCACGCACGTGAATACGTATAGGCCTACTGCGGTCGCGTCGTCCGTAGTCGTACTATAACCGATTGGCTCGAGTCAGGCCATATGGGAAAGACCCATTTTCTCGTCATGCTACAGCCACTTTAAGAGTTCCATGATGTAATCTAAAAGACCGCGCTCATGCAAGCATATTGCGCGCGGATCGCAAGCCGCTTTTTCTTGATCTCGATGCGAGGAGTCGCTCCTTTAAGTTCTCGCAAAATTTGAAATATTGCAAGTCTGTTGTTAGCCTTCTCGAACACTGTCCCAAAACTTGCCGCATATTGATCCGTAACTCGATACATCCATCGTTCATCTCAGCATGCACTATTAATTTTATTGACGACTATAACGTATTTGTTCTTGATCGATACAGATGCCTGTCCGTAAAATTCTTGATGGTTTGTCGCAGCTGCAACCTGGAGGTAATCTTCCGCACCTTGGCCCGCTTCTCCGCCCGGTAGAACTCCCGATAGAGATCGTGGAATGCGTCGACGATGGGCACATACCCTTCGCTCGCGCTCATTTCGCAGTACGTGCTCCCATAATCCTTTGCCAGTTGTGCGCCCTCTTGCTTTGTGATCTTGCGAAGGTGGCAGAGGTCGGCCTTGTTTCCGAGGATCAAGGTGGGGACCTTGTCGAGGTCACGACGGGATTTAAAGATGAACCGTTTTAGTTTATGGAGGTAGATGAAGCTGGATCTGTCGGTGACCGAAAATACGAGCACGAAGGCATCTGTACTACGCATCTGCTCTACTCGAGTCTGGCTTTCAAAGTCCTGGGAACATAGAAACAAAAGGGAAAGTTCGAAACCAAATAATCTCCAAGGACTCAAGGACTTCCTTAGTTGGTGAAGTCATGTGACCCATGTAAACCTAATGGCCCGAATTCACAAAGGAGGTTTGTCGACAAACCTAGTTTTAAGTGCGTCATATGACACGTTTCGACGCGTTTTTTTTTTACAAATCTGGTTTGCAAAAACGCGTCGAAACGCGTCATAATTATGACGCACATAAACATAGGTTTGTCGACAAACCTCCTTTGTGAATTCGGGCCACTGAGATCACAACCTATAGACCTAATGTACATATTGGAATTAAACATACGTACAGCTTCAACATAACTCTTTCAAGAAGCGACATGCTTCATCAATTTTTTATTGATCCATTCCTAAATAAGTTACATGTAAGTTTATTGATGAATACTCTGCCCTTAATAAGTATACACCTCATCAACTATAGTGTACAACATGGGACAAATTTGAAAGCCATATGTTTTTGTGGTCCCATTCACCCATATCAAGTGTTTTTAGTCGCTTGTGTTTTTCAGCAAGATTTTAACGTTTTATAATGATTAAACAACCCTATATTAGTGTCTTCCATACAAACCAACTTTTCAATATAGGCAAATTGTTTTCACGAGGCATATGTATGTTTATAGGCTAGTGCTCAATCTTACTCATCTTAAGGAGATGGTTAGAATTTAGTATCGTCTCATTTGCCAGCCTGGTTGTCTACGTGCCATAAAGGATGCAGTCACTACGAAGTTTTTCACATGTACTTACGAAGTCACCGGCCGTATCCAACACGTGAAGTGTTATACTTTGATCATCTATCCTCGTAGGTTGGGAGTAAACTGATTCTGCGAATATAAAAAAAAGAGAAAAGATAGATAACCAACCGTCATATAGTTGTTATTAAACGAATGACTTTACTAGATAATAATATGCCCTTATTATAATCCTGACAATAGGAATCTATTAATAGCAGCAATAACAAGGTAGGAAAAAAACAAACAACTTTTCAACTCGGGCATCATAAACGCACTACCATCTCCAAGGTGGAGTATACCCTCTTACGTGACGACAGATGTAAAGCAGAAAAGATAACACTAGAAATACAGAGAGTCACAAAGTTATATGGTGAGGTAAAGTGTTTCCCATGAAAGTTGGGATGATTATCATGAAATGAGTGTGGTATCTGGGGGTAACTGGCAATAATGGTTTATTATTGAAGGAATTTTATTAGAACTTATTTGACTAAGAACTATGATTCTTTAGATTCGGGAGTGTCAGGAGTGTCAAGTGTGACGGATATGAGCGCTTGACAAGAACCCATTATTATTATTATCAATTATTTATCAATCAATAATAAATTATATTCTCAAAATCACTTTAGAAAAAAAGCAGGAACACAAATCTAACTTCATGAGCAGTGTTTCAATTATTGGTGGGTTCATTTTCTCATCAAGTAAGTTCCATTATTATCATTTGCTTCGATTGAATATTAACATCATTTATATTATTCTAATATCAGTTTTAAATCGTGACAAAACTGAAACAGACACATTTAATTTAGGGAGATATGATCACATATGCACGCTTGCGCGCTGGCATGGTGCTCCAAAAGAGTGCATTGTGCGAGCCCCAACATCTTTTCACGTCGTAAACCACTCATCTACACTCCGCCCGCTGCCGTTGAAGTCGATAGACGAGTACGGTGTTCAAGTTAGAATCGATGATTCGTATATTATGTAGACAGCTTTTACCAGACTCAAGTTTCTGAAACCTGACGGTTGAAAGTAAATACGATCTAGGGTAGATATGGACATGTAGCAACACCATTGCGATATATCGTAACGCTTTTTCCGATCTAACGAAATACATTTTCAGATATAACAGAAGACCAATGTTAACTGATGAATACATGAATGGAGCAGGGTTTCAGTAATGTTTGTTACGAATGAATATCATTTTCTAAGAGGTACAGGGGAAAACCCTTTGCTACTATTATGGTGTATTAACTGTATCATTTTAACAAAAAGGGTGTTCTAATTTTTCCATTATACATCATTCTGTACATTCCTGTGCAGTTCTAATAGCCACTTATTAAAGGTGAAGTCCAACTGGGATTATGTTGGCGATTTGAGAGAAAAAGATGAGCGTATAATGAGAAAATTCGATAAAGAAAGGCAAAATAATTTCTAAAGCTGTTATCAATCAAACGCAAATGTCATGACGTATGAGCCTTCAGCCCAAAATACGCCAAGACTGTTTTACAAGAGGCCTAGTTCGATATAGAATACAAAGAAAAGTAGATTTTGCACAGGATTAAAATAGGAGCTTACGGGGAAAAGGGTAGTTGGAAAACTAGGGACAAGACATTACAAAACAAATACATATTAATGAAGAAACAAAAATAATGAAGGTTTGAAGAAAGAAACCCACCAAACGTAATGAAGGATGAAATGAAAGACGTTCGGAAATCATACATTTAATTTTCTCTGGTCAGCGTGACAAAAATATGATATTTATTCAATTCACGTGAAGATGTAGTACGAATTAAACGGATTAAATTTTCTACGAATATCTCAAGTCAGTAAATTAAATATTTGGTTATATGCTACGGATTCTGAAGAAGACATAATAATGCTGATTTGAAGAAAGAAACCCATCAAGCGTAATGAAAGACGAAATGAAAGACGTTTGGAAATCATAAATTTAATTTTCTCTGGTCAGCGTGACAAAAATATGATATTTATTCAACTCACGTGAAGATGTAGTACGAATTAAACGGATTATTTTTTCTCCGAATATCTCACGGCGGTAAATTAAATATTTGGTTATATGCAACGGATTCTGAAGAAGACATAATAATGCTGATTTGAAGAAAGAAACCCACCAAACGTAATGAAGGACGAAATAAAAGACGTTCGGACATCATAAATTTAATTTTCTCTGGTCAGCGTAACGAAAATATGATATTCATTCAAACTTACGTGAAGATGTAGTACGATTTGACCGATTTCAACTTCTCCGAATATCTCAGGCAGTAAATTGAATATATAATTGGTTATATGCAACGGATTCTGAAGAATGAGATAATTGAATTTCCGCAACAGCTTGGAATATTTGTACGACTCAATTCAAAGAATTTACATAAATCAACTTGCTATGCAACCGGAGTATTCGCTTATTTGATTTTCAAAGTAAACCGACGTTGCTGTTTATATGCCGAAGATTATGAAATAGAGGTTGTAAAACATGTCTACACTACAGTGCGTCCCAGAAAAAACGAAACCGAGAAGTATCGATGTTCTATCATAACATAATCAAAAGTATAAGTAATGAATGATACATATTTGGAAAGCTTAGAGTCTCCTCTTTCAGTTGATGCTACTCAGATAATGCATATTTTACGCATGAGTGATTAAAAGCAATTTGAAGGAAGGAAACCAAAAAGACATTTGGCGGGCCGTATCTGAGTTTCGAAGAAAAATTCACATTTCTAAAAAGTTGAGTTTCTGCCTTTTCATATGACACCTCAATCAGAAAAAATGAGCGAGGAATGACAAAGTTCTGTTTGTTTAAAGTAGTGCTTGCATTTCCATAAACGAATTCGTTTTCACTGGCTGCCTGTCGTATTAATAAACGAAATTAACAAAAGACTTAACTCCGTTTCGTTGACAATCAGCCGTGCATGAAGATTCTTGTCTACGGCTGATTGTCAACGAAACGGAGTTAAGTCTTTTGTCATATCTGCTTTTTGCTACGGCAGGCACCCAGTGAAAACGGATTCGTTTGTTAAAATTATGAAAATGCAAGGGCTACTTTAAACAAACAGAACTTTGTTATTCCTGGCTCATTTTTCTTGATTGAGGTATCATATATGAAAGAGCAGAAAATGAACTTTCTGGAAATATGCATTTTTCTTTGAAATTCAGATACCGCCCGCCAAATTACTTTTCGGTTTCCTTCCTTCAAATTGCTTTTAATCACTCATGCGTAATATATGCATCACGTGAGTAGCATCAACTGAAAGAGGAGACTCTAAGCTTTCCAAATATGTATCATTCATTAATTATGGTTGTGTTTAAGTTATGATAAAACATCGATACTTCTCGGTTTCGTTTTTATTGGGACGCACTGTATAATGAAGCATAGCGTGTCTAGAGAGATAGCTGCGATACGCGAAAGCGTGTGCAGTCTTTGGTAAAAATGTGGAGCTCCGGATGCACAATCTTCTCCATGGGCGGGAGTTGTTGGAAGCTCCAATGAAATGAGCGAACTTTCAGGAGCAACTTCCGGTGGCATAACGATCTCTCTCATCTAGCAATTAAACAAAGCCATCAGCTAGGCCATTAACAAAATATACATGTTTAGCGTCCCCGTCCGCTTCCTTTTTTTCTTCAATGACTTAAAACATGAACAAAATAATACTGCTCGAAAATTAATAATCAATTTCTGATTTAAAAAAAAAATCCCGGCGGCCATCTTGACAATTAGCTCGACTGTCAGGGAAAATGTACCTAGTGGCCATTTGGAGATGCCATTTTGAAGGGGAAAAAAAAGGGGGGGGCCTCCTCCTTCCTATTTTTCAAAAAGGCAGGACGCTAAACATGTTTTTTGTTTTATTTGGCCTAATTCGATTCTTGTTGGACACATATGGCGAATGCTGCTTTGTTGGGCAAATTCAAAATAAAAAGAATATGATACGCCATGGTGCGTCCAATTGAAAACCAAGGTAGCCAAACTCTGCGTTTACACTGTTGATAAGTTAAAGTTGATAATTATATTCCTTTCCTCTTTTCCTGAAATAATTGTCACAATATGATTTACTCCTGAGAGCTAACGTCCATATCTTCCCGGAACTCAATTGATCAATCTGTATGACTCATTAGATTGATTAATATATTCTGAGAAGATTATAAACCTTATCTATCAAGAAGAAACATAGTCTCACAATCACTTCATGAAATGAGGAAAAGGAAAATCATTCCAACTGTATGGGCTACAGAGGAGATGCCTCTGATGCTACAAATGTAATAACGCCCTCATACATTCTGTCTTCATCAATGACCAAGAAAGTGTGCGCGTGTGTAAGGGTACGTTTATGCTCAACTTTTTCTGGCCAGAATGAGTCGATTCTGGGGAAGCATACACGCACAATCATTTGTCAAGGTAGCATTCGCAGTGCAGGTTTGCGAATCCAGCTGCAGAGCCAGAATCATGCTTGGAGGAGCCAGAGAAGTGAGCATAAACAGGACACCGTGAATCTACGATTACGATGAGCGTTTACGATGAGCGTTTCAAGTCGCTCATTCTGCCTTCAAAATTAAGCATAAACGCACCCTAAGAAGGAGGAGCGTGAGTGAGGAAAAGAGAGTGAGTTTGTGTATGCATTTGCAATTACGAGTCATCACATAGACTCAGTAAATCAATTCTGAGTAAACAGGACCTGACAGCACGGAGTAGCGGAGTTGGGAAGATGGTAAACAACTTTGTATGATTGAGGACAGGGTACTTGTTCCAAGTAAACCCTCTTGAGGATGATGGGAGAAACGATTCGTGTCAATCAGAGGGAATAACAAGGCGCTGTTCTAGAAAATAAAATAACAGGGAAGGTGGGAGGGGAGGGGGGGGGGGTTGATTAACTCCTTTTACAGTTTTGTCCGAAGTATGATACACATAATATAATACAATAGCCTTCCCCGTGCCTTGACCAATCACAGAGCAACATAACAGAATTATTCATCACGCGTTTGCATTTTCGTTCCTGATTTTTAAAAATTACAATTATTTTAGAGGCACACTTTTGTTGTGTGTATTCTTTTGCTCTCTTTTTTTAGTATCAACAAGACGC